GCACTGGATTAAGTGCGCCGCTTGGGAAGCGCAGCGGCGCTCCCGCCTGAGGGTTTGGATCCCACATGCAGACCGGTTCCCGCTCACTGGCTGAGCGAGGAGCGGGGGCAACACCGAGGGTTGCGATCCCGTTGCCGGTCCCCGGTCCGGTACGGGGGCAACACTGAGGGTTGCGATCCGTTGCCGGACACGGAAAAAGATAAAAGACAAAAAAAAAAACCTGAGCTACACAAAAAGCCTTCCCCAGAGAATCAGCAGCAAAGCAACAATTTAGCTCAACCACAAAGCTCAACTGCTGGTCCCCACAGGAAGTACCCCCATTTTAGACGTAAGCAAAGGACAATAAATTAGTTCCAGTGCAGAGTTTAAGTGGCAGGAACAGCAAATAATCCAACACAGAACTGGAAGAAAATCAAAATACCCACAGACCAGAGGCAAAGTTTGATATTAACTAATAAAGGTCTCACATCACCAAAGAACACCTATAAAACCGAGAAGGACTAGAAGTCCCCTGGGCTACCAAGCCAGGGAGAAGGGAGGGCTGGGGCCTCAGCCATGCCCCCTGACACCCAAAACCAGCCCAGCAACGACCATCAAGCCACCGCAAGAAGCGCCCCAGTCTCCCAAGCTGGGGCGGTGGGGGCAAGGGCTTTAGCCACACTCCCCTGACATCTGCACCCAGCCCAGCAATGACCAGGCCACCACTGGAAGCCCTCTGGTCTCACCTGCAGGAGGGGGAGGGGGTGGCACAGGGCTCAACCCCACCCTTCTTCTTTCCTCCTTCTCCCACCCTATTTCCTTCCCCCTTCCCCTCCCCACCAACTGCTCATCAACAACATCATAGAATGTAAAAAATAATGTTAACAAATAAATAAACTTTAAAAAAAAATGAAAAAAGAAATATAAACCTGCCCACACATCATAAATGATAATAGTTTTGAGGGTATGAGGTTCTCTTTAGTAATGTGTTCTTGTTAACAGTGGCATAATAGTCCATTAGGGGAATATGCTATGATTTAAATAATTCCCTTTATGATGTTTGTGTAGGTTCTTTTCCATTTTTGCTATCAAAAACAAAGCAGCAATGAAAACCCTATACACACAGTTTTGCATGCCTATCTGAGTATATCCATGGGATAAATTCCTGGCAGATGAAATTGCATTCTCTGTAGTGTTTGCCTATCAGTTGACAATTCTCTACAGAGCTAAAACAGTCAGAAATCCAGTGTGTAGAATTTTAGTCACTGTTCTTCCTGTTAAGAACTGGCAGCACATAAGTCAATTATTTCCCCAAACTGGCCTATCCATTAGGGACAGACCAGAGGGTAGTCCTTGCAACCATATCCCTAAGTCACGCAATGTCTGACTAGGGCTCCTTAGGAGCAGACTGGCGAGGAAAGAGTGGCTGTTCCCACCCAACCTCTTTGCACAGCGTCCCAGTGAAATTCTCCAATAGGAGAATTCCAATTCTCCAATTAGAATACTCCAATCAGGTTGTCATTCAATTCTGTGAAAGGAAAAAGGCACATCAGAGACAGCCTGTTTCCAAGAGACAGAGACAGGTCTCTCCGTTTCACCTCCCTGAGCCACACTGGTTGGGGTCTCAAGGTTCCTTTGAAAACAAAACCACCTGGAACACAGCAGTACTAACTGAGGGAAGAGATCCTGGCAGGATGAGTGACTTGGGCCAAATGTAATCAACTCCCCTCCCCTTCAAAAAACCAAATGCTAAATAGTTGATGCTCACATCCTTCCAATTAGCTCACTATTCCCTCTAGAAGGACCTCTCCCCACGGGTTACAAATAAGAATTTTATAAATAACAATGTTTTTAGTTTAACAAAAAATCCAGAAAGATAAAACTATAAACTATAAATAATTGGTCACATCTCTCTTTTAGAAAAACTTGGAAAGCTGTTCCAAGGGAGGAAACATTTCTCTTCTAGCTAGCTAATTTTAAATAATATTCTTATTTACAGTTTTTATTACATTTATTCCTACATGGAGATGACCTGAGCAAAAGGGAAAATCCACATATGAAGTCATGAAGAACAGAGCTCTCGGTTACCACATAAAGAATGGGAAACAGAGGCAACAGGAGAATAGCCAGAGGTACAAAGATGAGCCAACACTGTCAGTGTCCCTCTTGTTAAAAAGCACCAAAGGACACTGGATGCAGTCACTTGAAAGCAATATGAGCACTTACCTGCTTCTCTTTCTTCTGTATTTTCATTTTCATCTACTGAAGGAAGATATTTATTTCTGTAAAACACCAAAAAGGCAAAGATTATGATAAAATTCAAAATAAAAAAAGAACATATTGGATCATGTCCAGATCAACTATGACACGTGAGGAAAACACAAAATGCTGAATTACTCCCACAGAACATTTACGTTCAACAACCCCCAGAACCCTAAGTGTAGACCTAGCCCTATCTAACCCTATCCCAGACCCTAATTTATTGCTCCAGACGGGATGGAGTAAAAAAGATAATGTCGTTGTAGATCAAATAAGTTACAAAAAATGCTGAGATATTAAAGTTACAAAAGTAACTAAATGAGAACCAAAAATAATGACATGATTTTATTGAAAGGAGTAGGAAGAAGGGGTGGATATAAGGTAAGACCTCATCACTTTTGGAAGAAAATCAATAATGTCTACAATGAATAAATCAAGAAACAGAAATACAGACAATAAAAAAGAGCTAAGAGTTCAAAGCAGTTCTCTCTAAGGAGACAGGAGTTGGTGTGAGGTGGGGCAGAGGTCACTATTGCATTTCATCATAAACTCTGACATCATTTGATGTTTTAAACCATGTGTGTATATTACCAGATGAAATAAATTCTGTTGTAATATTTCATATGATTTTTAAAAATTATTTACTTTATTCTACACAGGACTTAAGCCCTCATCCCCACTCCAACATAATGTTCTCCATGACACTGAACTTTTTCTCGTAAATGATTTGTGAATACCCTAGGAGTACAGCAATTGGTTCTAGAGCTGCAGAAGGGTCTTGGGGCACCTCAAGGGAAAGGACAAAATCCTCAGGGCTGAAGCTCTCACCTTCATATACAGACAATAGAGGGATCATAGAATCTTGGTTTCTGGTTTTAGCCCAGATGTAGAAACTGCCTCATATTTACTATTTATTTTGATTCTTGGACATTGCACACAGCTATAAAACACCGCTTGCCCAAGAAACCATCCCAGAGGCACACAATTATCCTTAAGTTTCATAATTATTTCTCATATCCAAATGAATGTGATATGTGGGCATTAAGGAAAACTTTAAGATTAAAGTGATATAAGTACTTGAGGTGGTGCATATGTTATCTTGATTTAATTATGCCACATTGTATTCATATAACATCACATTGTACCCCATAAATACATGCTACCATAATTTGTCATTGTAGAGTAAAAACTATATTTTTTTTAATTTTTAAAAAATGATGAAAGTGAGATGGTCCTAATTCTAAGTAAGTATATGGCATATTAGATGCAGACAGAAAAATGAAAGACTTGTGATTCCAATCACTCTTGGTACCACAATTACAGTTATCATTTTAATATCTGTCAGTTTAGTTTTTTTCTTCCAAAAGTCAGAGGCATATTCTATAAAAAAGGACCATAAAATGCCATGGGTTCTCCCCTAGAGAGACACATCTACCAAGATATTGCTGTTTGCAAAAAGCACAGTGGTCAAGGAAGTAAGAAGCTGAAAGCTGGCTGGCATGTTCAGGTGCGAGGCCAAGGGGAAAGGGGAGGAGGATGGAGAAGAACTGGCTAAATCAGGAAAGGGAAAGTCCAGTTAGTAAATGATGCTTCTAAGAATCACTGTGAGGGTTAGTATTTGATGGAACAATTATTCACCTCGAGAAAGCCATAAATTCCAGAGAAATGGTAAGTGCTCTGAGTCAGGGGAGTTAAAACTTAAAAAGAATATTCTCTCCTAAACTTCATTATAGTAGAGTCAGTTCTAGGTAAATTATGTTAGTACAAGTTTGTCTCCTTTATCTCTCAACTTTAAAATTATCTGACCCCAGAAAACCAATATTCTCAACCATCACAAAACTACCACAAATTCTGAAATGAAGAAAGAAGTGATAACTACAAAAATCTGCTCTGACTAGGTCAGCTAAACTGTAGTGCCTTGGGGGTTCTGGGACGAATCAGTAGTCACGTCCCATGTCCTGGAAAATATTATCAGAAGGCCATTGTAACACATAAGCAGACATACTGGCACCAGAAAAGTAATAAAATAACCTAGAATGCTTCTTTTAACCCTTATCCTAGATCCCTGCATATAGGATGTAACCTAGTAACAATCCTAAATCTCTACATCATGCATAACCATTAGAAAAACTGACGTAATGGTAAGGGAGGGCTGTCCTCTTCTCTCCCTTTTGATTCTTCCCCCTTCTTGTGATTATAAAATGCTAAGCTCTCCCCGCTTTGGAGATCATTTCTCAGGCAGACCTGACCTATGCGTATCTCTGGTTGCAACTGTCACACTGGCTCAATAAATCCTATATTCAATTTCAGTTTCTTTTACGTCAACAAAAGTTTGGGGAAAAAATTCCAGCTAATAAAAAAGTGTCTAATTAATAATAAGGCATATGAGCTAAAATAAATTCTGCCCAACAAAATGAAATCATTTAAAAAAATAGAAAAATTCTACCAAAGCCAGGAAAAAATTACTTTTTAATATATAAAGAACTGATACAAGTATAATGCAGTAGGAACATCAAAAAACAATTTTCCATTCAGTATCACAAACTAGCCGGCAAATAAGCAGGCCCCCACACCCAACGCACACACTGCCAGGAATGTAGGAAAACCGGTCCTACTTATCATTGCTAATGGCACTTTTAATTGCTTCAAGCTTTCTGAAGAGCACTCAGGCAATGTGCCAATAGATCTATAAACTGTTAGGATCCTTTTATATGCCACTTGCACTTTAAGGAATATATCCTGAGGAAATGAGCCAGTAGGAAATAAACCCAGGCCTTAGAGGAAGCTCAGGGCCGAGGTGGGTAAACTGAGAAAATGCCTATCACAGCACAACTCGGGCACAGGAGAGGGCGCACTAATCCTGGGGCCTGTGTCACTGCAAGGTCCAAGAAGGTCAGAGAAGGCAGAAGAACACAGGCTGGAAAGACCGAAGAGAAGGGCTCAAGCAAGTATGGCTTAATTTGAAGTCTTAAAGGAAAAGAGGTGGTGAAAGATTCTAAACCAAATCTTTCCCCTCCCACCCCATTCTATCTTGAGAGAGAGAGAAAAAGAGAGAGAAAATATGTGTGTGAAACCCAAGTGAGTGAGCATGATGTCAATAGATACAGTTCACTGAAAGCTATCTTTGGCGAACCTCATGTTGTTATCGTCAAATCACTTCTAGCACCTCAATGGATCACCATATTCCAGCATGCTGTCCCTCACATGATAATGGATGTTATCAACATCAATAAGCGTTTATTGACTTTCACTTCTCCAAAAAGCACCCCCTAATTTACCAACAATCTTTTAAACCTCTTTTATGGCACATACTTTTAAAACATATACAAAAAAAACCCACTATGAAATCTCTTTGTAAGGCGAAATTTTATATGCCAGGAATAGACAAATAGATACATCCTAAAGTTTATTTCTGCACAACACTGGCAATGGTTTTATAGCCTCTGTTGTTGTGCTGCCTTCACTCAAAAGTCAGATCCCTCTGGCTCAATAAAGAACAAATCAAACAGTAATTAGAAACATAATACAGACAATTCTAAAACCCCTAACTGTGTGGACAAACCAGGAAATTTATCAACAGGGGGAAAAATCATGTATATAACTTCTGAATCATATGAAAACTGGTAGGACTCTTGCTTTCCTTACAGTATTCAATGCATAGGTATGAATGCGGCACTTAATTACCTTCACAAAAACATAAGCTGCTAAAAATGTAAAAAGCGCACAATATAAAAGTTCCCATTACTTCTTACACTTGCCCACCTAATAATGCTTCTATTAAGAAAAATGGGTGCCAGTTTTCACTAAGAACATTTGGAAAGTTATTTTTATTACTATCCTCTCCAGTTCAAAAATCCTGCACAGTGCCTTTGCCATTTCCAAGTTCCTCAATGCTGTGTTACGGACACTTAAAAATAACAAAACATTAGGTTCACACCATTCAACCATTCATTCACAAAAATCATTTAAATTCACTATACCTTGAGAACTCTCATCCTAACAACTCCTGCTAAATCCAAAGATCTATTTAATTACAGGAGTGTGTGTTTTTGCAAACACAGACTAAAACATATACAGCAGACCTCTACCACAGTCCTTTATATTCACGAAAGACAACAGACGCAGCTGGCAATAGTAAAGATAGAGACCTTTGCTGTTAACAGGTCTCCATCCCCTACAACTCTATCAGGTACTCTGGAATAGAGAGCACACAAAAACACTTTAAAAATCAGATACACCTCAAATTTTCCAAAAGGAACATGTATTTTTTTTTCCTACACAAACACTCAGTGGAAAATCAACATATATTTTAATAACCTACTTATGCCCACCCTCAACTTTGAGGCCGGTTCCTAACAACCACTCTACCAACAGCAGGCATAAATAAAGCAATTTCACATTGTTATAAGGAGGGGATTTTAGAAGGAAATAGGAATAGGACACAGGGAATAACTCTTTTGGGAAGAGTTAATCAAGAAGGCAGAGATGTTAGGGAATACCACCTTCCTTTAACCCCTACACAACCACATATTATTTGTTTTTTGGGGTGGGGGGTGGGGGTAGGGGGGCTGGCCAGTAAGGGGATCCAAACCCTTGACCTGCCAACCACCTATTACTAAAACTCTTGGCATTCTTGACCACAAAGAAGGTCCAGTGGATAAGAAATCCCTCAAACTCCCAATTCCCCATCTTACTACCCTCCATAACCAAAAACTGGAAAAATTTACTTATGTCTTTTGCTAAGCTTGAAGCAGTCTACAGTAGGTATTTTATTTTATTTATTTATTTTTTGTCTTTTGTCTTTTTTCCATGTCCGGCAACGTATCGCAACCCTCAGTGTTGCCCCCGTACCGGACCGGGGACTGGCAACGGGAATGCAACCCTCGGTGCTGCTCCCGTGCCCCGCTCAGCCAGTGAGCGGGAACCGGTCCGCATGTGGGATCCGAACCCTCGGACGGGAGCGCCGCCACGCTTCCCAAGCGGCGCACTATCCAGTGCGCCACCGGGCCGGCCCTACAGTAGG